CAACTTCAAAAACAATAGTTAAAACAATTTAAACAATACAAATTATATACATAAATATTAAATAGCTTAACAAAAGAAAAAAATATCATAGTTTTGTTGTATTTAACCTATATACAATTTGTATAATACAAACGTAATCTTTCATAATTTTGTTGTTTTTAACCTATAAAGTATTAGATATATCCCTACATTTTACGTAAGAAACAATTTTTCATCGCATTTCCAAAATGTAATTGAATATTTTCACCGTATTTCCAATTTGAGATTTATCGGAAACGAGTTTCCGTCGCGTTTCCAAAACGGAATTAAAGTTTTCATTGAGTTTTCAAATTAAAATATTTTAGGAAACGCGTTTCGGAATTAATTTTTTTTAGGAAACGCGTTTCCATGGAATTTTCAAAAGTTTCGGTTTCCGAAACAGAAAACGCACCTCAGATGGAGTTTCCATGCAACCTAGGTAACAATTACTGAGATATATAAATTATTGACTTATGGCGGAAACAAACAGAATATTGACTTATAAAGTTTTACAAAACAATATTAAACATATGAGATATGCTAAAATATATTTTTTAAGTTTCAAAAAAAAAAAAGTTTTAACAGAACAACTTTTTAGCGTTGATGGAAGAAATGTTTATCGTCGCTGGATGAAAATTTGACTGGAAAGACTCATGGACATTGCACATATGACATTAACTCCATCGATCATCCTACACCAAGTAAACACTACTCTTCTTGTTTATTTACATTTTCGTTGTTAAATCACAAAACAAAACAGATAGAGTTCTGTAAACATTAAAGTGTATTTTATTTGAGAAAAAAACGTATATTATAAAACTTAATGTTAAATGTTATCGTTACTAATGTCACATGAATCGCATCCATACCAAAGCAGGGAATCTCAAAACTGCATTTTTCATGACATTTTGTCGAAGCGTTCGAAGTCAAACCCATGCCTAAAAAGTTGAATATAATAAATTTTAATGGGTACATTTGCTCCCACACCCTAAGGCTAGCTCCGTCCCTGGTTCTGTTTGTCAACTCTCACCAACGTTTACTTTATTAATCTTGTATTTAAGTTGAACTGTTTACTTATGCAAATACTACTAATTAATTATGACTCGATTAATTAGGGTTTATACTTAATAGGATTGTGACGAGCACACAAAACTACAGGTGACGGGCTCGTGCTCAGTTTATGGTTGCAATCCAGTCACCATACATACATTCAGCTTAGTATGGAAGTAGGTACCTCTGAAATCTTGTGGAATTCCTTGATCTCTACATTATACGTACAAGGCTTTATATAGCCAAAGTAGTTACACAAAATCAGGAGCAGTATTAACAACTTAACAAAATCCTATATACGAGGAACTGAATATATCTCATTGTCTATCAC